CTCAACTTCACAGCGAAGGGGCGGCTGACTGTTAACAAACAACTTCTTCGGTTTCATTCAGAGTCAATTTCAACTTCACAACGAATGATATTAGACTCGATACAACACAAGCTCAACTTCACAGTGAAGGGGCGACTGACTGTCAGTAAACAATTTCCCAGTTCCAGAACCAATTTTAACTTCACGACGGATGATATTGGACTCGGAGCAATACAACTTACTTGGATTTCAACCTCACGACGAAGGATATACAATTACCAGGCTCAACTTCACGACGAAGGGGCCACCCGCGGTTTCAACTTCACAACGAAGGGAATCATGCACACAAGCAACATCCATCTTTAGATTGGATTTCAACTTCACGACGAAGGATATCCAACTCAAAGAATGAGTGTCTATCAATAAACTTTCCAGTTTTAGAGTCAATTTCAACTTCACGGTGGAGGATATTGGCCTCGAAACAACGCAACTTACATTGGATTTCAACTTCACAACGAAGGATATCCAATTCTCATGCTCAACTTCACGACGAAGGATTTCATGCTCAAAATTTTTCAGCTCAACTCAACCTCACAACGAGGGAGTTATTTCATATCGATTTTTAACTCTACGGCAGAGGACATTCGATATGGACGAAATTTATGTCTTTTAATCTTTGCTCTATTTTCGTTACACGATAATGAGTAAAGAGGGGCAGCTGAAGACACCCGAATTCATCCATTAAATTTATTTCATATATATAATATTCATTTGGTTCCATGTTACAGGCCCATTACACGCAAAAAAAGAATAGCCCAAGGTAAGACCCAAGTCCCACGTGACCCAGTCATGCAGTCTGAACCAGTGTAGGATTAGGGTTTGTGGGAAACCATAGCAGTTTCTCGTCCAGCGCCACTCCACACCAACCGTCGGATCAAGGGGTGATCTAAGGGCCCAGATTAACCCTAGCTATTGCTGCCCCATCTCATCCAGCGCCGCCTGGTCAGCTGCACGCCATTTTTCACGGCCGTTCCTCGCACGTTCAACAAAAATAAAGGACGTGTGTTAGTAGGATTCCAAAGCAACCAACAAGCATTAGATTTTTAGTACGATTAGGAGTCTAAAAGATAGGATTTTTTATTCCTATAAATATGTGTAATCAAGAACAATTGTACACATTCGAAAATACGAAATAAAAGCAAAAAAAATTCGAGCAAAACTACGAGCAATATCAAGGCAAAACCGAAACTTTTTTGAGTTTTTGTGAAGAACAAAAGGTAAAATGCATACCTTTCTTCGTTTTGGTGGCTTGCATGTCGTTCATTCCGTGTTGTTTTTGATTCAATCCACAAAAAGAAGTGTTTTTCGGCCGAGGAACAAAGTGAGGCCATTCTTTTTTTTCGAGATCTTTCTTCCTAGATCTACACTTTTCCGGGATGATTTTTTAAAAATGGTTTTGATTTTGGAAAAGGAAATTTGAAAAGCATTTAAAAAAGCAAAAAAAAGGTTTTCGCCGCCAATGAACGGCGGTCGGCGAGGCGGCGCGGTGGCCAGGATTTGGAGAGCCACTGTGGTGTTCATGTGTTCTTCAAGAACACCGAGAAAATTTTAAAAAGATGAGAGGGGATGCTTTGGTTTTGAGATGAAAAATGAGAGAATTAGGAAAATATTTGAGTTTAATACTATCCCATCAGACCGCCTGACCCGATCCATACCCGCATCTGGACCCGCGTGTTTTGCTTCTAAAAAGGGATGACTGCGTTTTGATCCCCCATTTTTAAACAACTTCTATTTTGACCCTAATTTCGCTTTAAATCGACCTTTAACTCTGATTTTCTTTCAATTTAGCCACCCATCTTGTTTTTTAATTCAATTTAATACTTATACTATTATTTTATTTATTTCATACCATTTATGTATATATATATATATATACGTATTTTTTATTTTATTTGTATACCTATTATTAACATATATATATTTAATTATTTTTTTTATTTTGATTATTTCTCTGTTTAATTACTATATCTTATAGTTGTATATATTTTTTATTTTTGGGTTTTACTATTATATTATATTATATTATTGTTATTTTTTAAGTTTTTTTACCTTTATATATATTATATTTTTACTTTTATACCTATACTATTTTCTTTTCGTTGTTTTTATTTACTTATTACGAATATTACTTTTACTATATTTGTCTATGTTTCATTTTTTCCTCATGTCTTTATTTTCTTATTATTATTTTTTATTTATTGTTATTTTCCTTTGTTTATTTATTTTCTTTATTTTTCTATAATGTTTTTTGTTTCTTTATTTTCATTGTGCTTTTTTTATTTACTTTTTATCATTTCATTTCATTATTATTTTTATCTTTTTTAACTTTATTCACTCTTTTATCTTATCTTCTTTATTTCATTCGTTTTTACCTAACACGTTTTTTGATTTTTTTTAAGGATAATTTCAAATTAATCTAAGGTGAGTACTGAGGATCGTTATTTTTACCTTTTTTTATTTAAAGTTACAATTTTCTTAACTTAAGACAACTGTAAATTACATAGTATCGAAAGGGCAGTTCAATGGTGCTAACTCTTCCTTGACTGTAACCGACTCCCGAATCCGACACATCACTGGTAAGACGCATATCATGTAAGAAATAAGGTACCCGGTCAATCTATGTACTTTTAAATAAATGATCGGTGGCGACTCCTAAATCATTTTCCAAATCGAAACCAAATTCCGGGACCAACCGAAAGACGATTCCGACAGTAGTGTAGCTATACTTAGCAACAATAAAAAAGACAAAAACCAAAACCAAAACCAAAACCAGCTTCGGTGGTCCAAATTGCAACATCTATCGAGATTGATGACCATTACCCACAAAAACTGATGGACCGGAAGAACCGGTTCGGTGGACAAATGGCAAATCGAGCTGTGCCTCGCAGGTGGAGTTTATAAATCTGAAGCGGGATTTAGCCACGAAGCCTTTTTAGGGACAGCAAATAACGTGGCCCTTCACTATCCGTGGTGTTCGAAAGCGGGGCAAATATCTTGTATCACATTTATTGTCGTGTTGCGTAGAAAGAGGCTACTCCGTGTCGCATTTTGAAGCACAGGTTCATGTTTTCTCATAATTTGGGTTGCTTATGGATGAAAGGCAGCGGACTGCGACAATAAACTCGTGATTCATCCATCGCCCGGTCGCTGTCGGACTTTGTTGCCAACCTATCATCCTAACATGGCCTGATTTAATTTGACGTTCCAACAACTTGACGATGCTTAGTGGTCTGCCATTATCTACTTCCGGCATTGAAACCCATAGCCTTAGGCCAAGGTAACACCCAATTCCACTTCAATAATGTTACAGACATAATTCACAACAACTTAATGATGTTTGAGCTTCATCCCATGTTCATTTCAACTTCGACTCTGATTCGATATGATAATTTAATTGTTCGAGATCATATTTATCATGCTCGACTTAATTCAGTGTTGTCAATGAATATAGTATGATCTTTTTATTACATTGAAACCGATTGAGAATTTAAATTAAATAATTCATGTAATTATCAAGTCGATATTCCTGAGATGTCGTTATCTCTTCATTTACTTTCTCTATTTTTATTTTTCTTAAAAAAAGGTTGTTTTGGTTTAGAATAAATTACTTAGCCTCTAAGGGTCTACTTGAATGAAGATGATGACAAAATAACTCTACACCTGTTAGATCTCGTATATTTTTATTAAATTTAAAAATATACCATAGATATAATGATTCAATTATTTAAATTTGTTCAGAATTATAATTTAAATTATTAGGATAAAATTATGATACAATAGAATAAGTGGATAAAATATCCCATGTCTTAAATTATAGATAAAATGAATTATTAGCTCTAACATTGCAAGATAAAAATAGAGTAATTTGGAGTTTACTTCTTAATTTACTATTAAAAAAAGATCTTCTCCATATAATCTTCATATTTATTGAAAATGCCCCATGAACTCAAATTGATTCATGTAATCGCATTATTGTCAGATTGTTATCTATAATCCATCCAGTATAAGTATCACTTTATCATTTAAATTATATTATAAATTTCTTTAAATCGAGTTATAAAATTCGAGTTGAATCAAATATATTCGTTTGAGTTTCTGTTTAAATTAAAATGTAATTATTTATAATGTAAATTTTTAGGTACAAATTATTTATAATGTAATAATAGTAATTGATTTTAATTTAAATGGTTATCTCCGATCATATATGATGTACACATTTTTCATTTTTCACATGTGTAAGTAAGATATGCAATGTTATTTAATAGATCTAATATGATATAAAATCATGTAATATATTATAATATTTTTTAAAATAATAAATTTTAAGGATAAATTATTAATAATCTCTAGAACAAATGGTTAAAAACTCTCGGTTAACCTATTTCTTCTTCTCTAGATTATGGGTTCAATACCCATTAGAATTAAAATTATTCTTCCCCTTCCTAGCAGATAGTTTAAATTTTTTAATAAAAAAATAAAAACTAAATTAAAAAATAATTAAAATACTTAATTAAAGATAAAAATAATATAATTGATTATTTAAAATTTGTAAATTCAAACTCGAAATTAGAAAAATATATATCCTAAAAGCAGGCAGAAGGTAAATTGACGTTGAGTAGTCCATATATTGGAATCAGGAGTCCATTGTCTTTCTTTTAAGACTCCCCAATCTATAGCCCTCCCAGAATTGCATTAAGTTTGAAGAAGTGCAGTAGACGTTTGTTGATTCTCATCCATTTTAGCCGTCGTTTGATATTGTTTGTCAGTCCAGCTAAACCTGTCAAATTGCCTTAAATGTTTCCTACTCGTATAAATCCATCACTAAAGCTCCACAAAACCACAGCCAAGCATGGCAAAAACCCATCAACTTCTTCTTCTGGTTACTGTCTCATCATCAGAAGAAGATCCTTTATATTTTTCACAAACTAATCATCAATTTGTAAAACTAACTCCGCAAATGTTTAACGTGACAGAACTTTTACATTGTTTACGTGGGAGATGGTCCTTCGAGCAAAGGCTCCACAGTTCGTAAGCACTTGAGCCTTCTCTCCTCTGTCAAGCCTGGGTTAACTTAAGCTTAATCACCCATACATTAATATGTATGTATGAATTTATGTATGATTTTGTTGTTTTGAACAGTGAATATGATGCTAAGGACTCCATGGTTTATAGCTACACGAAGAGCTTCAATGCCTTTGCTGCAAAGCTATCCAAAGACGAAGCTCAAATGTTAAAGGGTGCATGAAATTTTCATTCAGCTGTCGTTTCCCCCCGACTTTTACCTAATTTGCTTAACTTGGTTTTGGAATGTTTAGAACTGGAAGAAGTGGTTTCGCGTTCCCGAATCGATATCACAAGCTACACACAACAAAATCAAGGGATTTCATTGGATTTCCTCAAATAGCTAAAAGACATTTGAAGCTAGAGAGAGACATAATTGAGGGTCTGCTTGATACAGGTTGATGGAGCACTCTGTTATTTCATTAAGTTGATTCACCATTAATGTCTTTTTGTTTACTAATATGTTTTTTTCCATTTTCAGGGATCACTCCACATTCAGACAGGTTCAAGGATGATGGATTTGGTCCTCCACCCCATAAATGGAAAGGAACATGCCGCCATTTTCGAAATTTCTCGGGATGCAACAAGTAAAATTCATGCATGTTTTAATCATATAATAGGACTCGTCGAATGCCGCCGTCAAACGCGCCTTCCATTAGTTCCGCTAACTGGGCACTGATTCAGCGTAGGCGCTTTCCACCGAACGCACCTTCATGCCACGTAAGAGTAGGCATGTTTCACCAAACACGTCTTATTTTAAACGGGTGCTAAATAGAAAAAATTTAGTCAAAGGACATCAGACAGGAAATTTTTAAATATTAGGATGCTTTTTTGGTAAAAACTTTCTTCCTCAAGTATATTCGCTTTTCAAAAAATATATTTTAAATTTAAATATAATCGATAATTATGTAAATCACACATCAAAAATCGTATATCAGTATATATATTTTTAAAATTTGTATTTTATTTATGAAACTCGAAATCAGTTCAACTAAAACATGTATTTACATTTTACAATTTAATTTCAGAAAATATATTTCGATGAAGGGGGAGAAGAGCATCTGATGCCACTGCCCGAATATCTTTCCTTCCTTTTTTCTTCTTTCATGATCGCGTTATCTTGTAGACCCCACCAACAAAGCACCCAACGTGTCAAGATTTTTATAAACGGATTCCTACCGTTAACAGCTACGTTCAGAACACGTGTCGCAACTCCAGAGTGACCAAACTTTTGGCCCACATCTCTATCGATCGGACCACCGAACTAACACTGTAGGGACCACCACGCGGCTACTCCTTGGGAAAAATGCAAAAAGGGCCCCGTAGGGTCCACTTTATTTTATCTTTTCTTTTTTCTATTGGGTCCCGTGTCCCACATGACAGGACGGTTCGATAGGGTGACCCGTTCCGCCCATGACGTTCCTCTTTGCAATCCACGGATTGCCCCACCTGCTTTTTTGGTTTCAGTGTTGACCCACACTAACATTTTGTGGACCCAACCCTTTCCCGCCTAATATGACCCCACATTACACGTGCGCACCTTTTAAAAAAAACTTACGTGAGCACGTGTTCCTCCTCCTCCTCCTTTAGCTTCGCTCTCGTTCATGGCGGATGCACTCGGCAACAACGACGCCACCGGTCCAAAAAACCCAAACACAGTAAGCCAAAATGGAAGAAAAAGGAAGAGAAAAGTTATCGTTTTCCATTCAATGTTTTGAAGATCGCGTCATGAACTGGAGCTCTTGTTTATCGTAAATCTCCAACGAGAAGTTTCTAAGCATCTGAGTGGTTGCCGTTGTAGTAGTGGTGGCGGCGGAACTCGAACTCGGTGCAAAAATCAACGCCGTTTTAGCCGTCTTGGAGACTGGAGCCGCGCAGCTCGTGACAGCTACATTACTTTGAAGTTGACTCGGCGTTGTTGTTGTTGCACCTTGTTGCATGGCCGTGACAAATGACGATATAGGCCGAGCAGAAATGTTAAGTAACGGTGTAGCGGTGGCCGGAAATGTGAATATATGAGGCTGAGTGGATGGTCCGACCATGGATGCCATAGGTGGTACCATGAAGAAGGTGCCTGGAACGACGGCGCTTGATGGTATCGCCCAAATTGGAACCAAACCCTGCGGCAGAACAGCTTGTCGCTGTTGCTGTTGAGAAGTAATTACAGGAGCCAAACCAGATGAAACCGAAACGGTGTCGTTGACGTCAACAACCTCGCTATTAACGGATCGTTTGTGCTTCTTTTTACTAGGGTCGCCGGGTTCGGGATTAGCGTTCGAGGTCCTTGGGATTTTAAGGGTCCCATTAACCGACATAGCGATGGCGGGAACGGTACCGGTTCCGGTTGCCGCTATTATCGCCGGTTCGGCGTGCTCTAATAACCAGCTTATAGTTTCTCCATCCGACTTGTGGCCTAATTCTCGTGTCAGCTGAAAGATCCGAGCCGCGCAAGTAGCGGGAATTCGGATCCTCCGGCCACGTCCCTCCACTTTCGTGTGACGATCCTTTGTTGACGCTCGTTTAGGTGCGGCGGGCGCTGCCTTTACTGGAGGCACGGGAACAGCTGACGGCGCGTGCACCGCCATGGGCATCAGGCTTACAGCTGTGTCTGTATCAGGCTCTTCTTTGGGATTCTTCGACGCTGCTGCAGCCGCCTCCCCGCCGACGTTGACGCTGAGAACAAACGCTCTGCTATCTCCATCCTCTTCAACCTCATGTTTATGAATTGCAGCCATCGGTTTTTATTTTAAGAAGAAGCACAGAGCACGTAAAAAGATAAAACTAAGAGGAGAGAAACTGAAAAAGGAAGAAAAAAGCTTTGAATTTTATAAAGAGGATGAAAAGGGGGAAAGGGGAAAATACACTCAAGTCACTCGCTTGTTAATTTGGTTACACTTACAAACGGTCGTGTTGTTCTAATTAAAATATTATACAGTATAATTGAATCATTATATTATTAAATATCAAAATGAAATAATAATATAATCTATAAAAACAATAATTTTAGTAGTTAAAGTATATACATTTTATCAATTTTTTAATTCATAATAATAAAATAAAAATAATTCTTTATATTTAAAAAATCATTAATTTAATTATTTTTCTTTTATTAAATTACTTATTCTTCTCCTAAAACTATTATATTATTTTCCTGATGTTAAAACTTATCTTAATATCTTATATGGTGTTGATTTTGACCAAAGATGACATTATATTTTTTATTCGATGTGAAATAGTATTAGTAGAAAATTGATAAAATCTTTTCTGTCAAATTTATTTTAAAAGTACTATATTTTGTGTTTCAAAACATAGAATAAATATCAATTAATCTCATATTCGGAGTATACATTTTATCATACAAATACTTTAAAAGACTACAAATACATCGAATAAATTTTATATTTCATGTTTCATGTATGTGTTTAGTTCATAATAACACCGAGTTTTAATTTAGAGTCTTTGGGGCTTTTTTCTTCTTTAAATATCTTGATGAAAATCATCTACGGTGATCTACCGATCGTAGAGTTAAGGGTTGATCTCACAGGGTGATGACACGTGGTGGGTCCCACAAAGGACTATTAAGTTTTTTTTTAGAAGAGAAATATTAAATTATCTTATCGTTGACGGTCAAAGGCGGTGATGAATATCCAAATTGTAAATTCTTTGGGTCTTCTTATTTATTTGTTTTCCACTTCCATAGATCAGCGGTTCAAACCATGGAGGTTGAAAAACAATAGGTTTTTAAATGATGAATATAAATCTATAAAAAAGAAGATGAATATGAAATAATAAACAAAAAACAAGTATTTCGCATTAAATTTTAGGTAAACTACATGTTTAGTTATTTAATTATTATTTCGATTCTGGTTTAATCACTTATAACTTAAGACAATATTATGCCATCATTAAAAAAAAATTGTCCCATTAACATTTTTATTTAACGACAAGTGATCAAAACGTAATATTAGATATGAAAAACAAAAATAAAATGATAGTTAAATGATTAAATATATAATTTACCTTTAAATTTTTAAGGAACTGGGTTTTATATGTTTGATGAATGTTGAGTTCTTGAGTTTTAAATATTTTGGTTTCAACTTTATTTATTTAAATTATATGTATGCCATTTTAGTTTTAGTTTTAGTTTTAGCTATAATTTGAGATAATTTAAGTGTTAAGGTAGATATAAAAGTATATATTATTATAATTGAATCTAATTGTAATTGTTGCTCTGATTGAAATTAAATTATATAATTAAAATTATTGATTCTAATTTATTATTATTGTAACATTTGTCAATATTGATTCTAATAGGGTTCAACTGAACTTGTGATATAATGATAAAAGAGTTGATGTTATAATAAAGTATTGAGTGATATTTAACTCGTCAAGCGTTTTCAGTGGTTAAATGGAATATTATTCTTTTTAACATATACTACATTATAATCATCTTAGATTATTAAAAAATTATTATTTATATAAAATGTCAAATTCGATTCTAAACAACTCATTTTTTTCTCATTATAAAAATAAATAAATTACATCATTAGTCACTAAACTTTTTTTACTAGATGCGTTAGAGCCGCCACTGATTATTTAAAATTAGGTTGATTGGATACCTTAATTTATTGTCTAACCTGATCCACGTTTTACCAAAAATATATCGGATTCGGGAGTCGATTACAGTCAAGGAAGGATTAACACCATTGTACTGCCCTTTCGGTACCAATTTAATTTTCCAGTTGTCTTAATTGCGAAAGTTAAAGGTTAAATTAAAATTTAAAATTCGATACAAATTGTTTATCTTTGATCAATTAAAATTCCCCTAAAAAGTAAAAAAAAATGGTAGATTGTAAAATAAAATAATAAATGTTAAATAAAAAGGAAAGAATTTTAAAAAGGTTAAATTAAGAAATAAGAAAAAATAAATGTAAGATAAAAAGAAAGACTAATAAAGTGAAATAATATTAAAAGAGAAATAAATAAAAAAATGAAGAAAATGTTAAATTTTAAAAGAAATAAAAAAAATGAAGAAAATATTAATTTTTAAAAGAAATAAAAAGGAAAGAAATATTAAATTTTAGAATAAATAAAAAATAATAATTTAAAAAATGAAGAAAATGTTAAAGGATCAAATTGGAACAAATTAAAATTTTACGGACCAAATTGATGTTAAAAAATGAGCTGCAAGAGAAAAACAAAATGTAAGGGGGGCTAAACTACGAAATATAATAAATTTAAACAGAGATTAAATTGAATAAACTCAAAATTCAAGGGTAAATTCATAATTGGTGACCAAAATGAATTACACTTCAAACTTTCAGGGGTAGCGGAAATAATTTAAAAATATTGTATGTACACATTAGTCCTCCGGTTATAAATACCCCTAAACCGAAAAAAATCATTTTTCACGCCCTACAAAAAAAAATCTCAAGCTCTCCAAATCCTTTCAACTTCCTCCGAGCCAGCCCAGTACCGGTCACACTCCGATGACATATCAACGCCCGAATGCCACCCTCGGTGGCCAGAAAACCCAAAAATCACCCAAAACACTTCTCTCACCCTTGTGAACACCGAACCGAGGCTGAAATCCTGCAAAAATGCCCCAAATAACATAGATTTACACGTAAATGTTCAGTTTTTTTACCTTTTCAACGTGACCCTTCATTTTCCCGGTGACCGCTTCACGTCCCGACAATGACCTTCATTCGAGCCAAAAATCGACACGCTTGCTTGGATTTTTTTTTTTTTTTTGCTTACTTTCGAGTTTTGCCTTGGGTTTTTTTGATGGTTTTGGTTGCTATATTTGCTTGGGCTAGTTTCGATTGTCTTGTTGTGCTTGTTATGCGATATTCTTTTGTATTTTCCTATTTGTTGTTTGACGCTTCCGCTATATGCTTTTATAGCCTTAGATCCGGTCGTTGTAGTCCCGAAGATCTCGGGGTCATCCTCGATCTTTCCGGGGTTGTGACTCGTTCGTTTTGTTCACGTTCCCGTTGAGGTTGTTGTTGGCCGGAAATCCCGGGATTGTTTAGTCCGGGCGCTAGACCGAAAATCTCGACCGATTTACTGGCGCATGGCCTCCATGCGCGCTGCCTACTTCATCTCTTACGGCTCCCCTGATTAAACACAAAACCCTAATTTGATTTCAGACTAGGTCAGGCCCCCTAACCGAGTTTCTGGGTCAAACTACCCAGTTGGGCTCCTTGTTGGATCCTTGCTGGACTTCTTGGACCTTTACTATGGACTTGGACTCTTAATTTGGATCTGAAATAAAATAATAAAATGAGATAAATAAATAAAATAAATAATAATATATAAATAATAATATATACTAAATATAATAATAAAAACTATATAATACTATATTTTTAAAAATATGTTTTAAAAAATTATATTATATGTTTTCAAAATCGTTTTAAATATATATATTATACGTTTTCAAAACCATTTTTAAAAGATCATATATTATATGTTTTCAAAACCGTTTTAAAAACTATATATATTATATATTCTTAAAAACTATATTTGAAATTATTATATATATTATGTTATACAATATAATAAAAACCACTAACGGAAATAAGTGTCTACAAATAGTATGTCACTTTTTATTTTGTTGCGAAAGACAATTTTGTTTTTTATTTTGTGTTGACATTATTATTTCACCTCATAATCTTCTTCATTAATAGCTAGAGTTTTCCTTCATTTTTGGCCATCTTAAAAAATCATTATTATTTGATATGTTCTGTGATCACCCCCTAACATCCACAAGCTATCTCTTTGTGTTTTTACATTTTATCAATTTAGATTTTATTTATCTTATTTCAAAAGCACGAAATTAAACCATTTTTTTTTACAATTTCGAGAGATTAAAGAGTTCTCTCGAACTTGAGTAGCTTGAGACTTCATTTAAAAATTCAAACTGTAATAACCATTTTTTGTCCCCCATACCTTGTTGTTCCCAAAGCTGTACAATTTCCACTATCCACTCCAGCACATGCTCCACTCTCCACACCAGCACCAGCACATGCTCCAGTACCAGCACATGCTCTACTTACCAGCACCAGCACATGTGGCTGCACACCAACAAATGCCAGCCCATACCTCACTCATGTTGCTGCCCATGCTTCACACATCACTCCACCATCAGGAAATTATTATTATATGATTTTATAATGGGTATAAAACCCAATCGAATTCTATGTAAAAGGGACGTTTTTTTTCAGCAATAAAACACAACAATTAGAATCGAAATCTTCAAGCAAATTAAAGAGGTATTTTCGTTTTATTTCGATTTATCTTGTTAGATTCTTGAGATGTAATTAGAAAACCTAATGTAGTTTATAATTTGATTCTACTTGTTTATGTGAATTCTATGGCTAAAAAAATAGAAAAAATAGTTGAAGAGGGGTATGTTAGAAGGATAGACAGAAAGAAGAGAGGAAGATACAAAAAGGGGTTATGTTCATCCAAAATGGTTTAAAATGTGAAATATATAGATTAAAAATGGTGAAAACCGCGCTGAGGCCTTTCAAATTTCTGTCGTGTTTTACATCTTGATCACCAAACTTGTGTGTAAAATCACGCTTAGACCCCTGCACATTTAAGCGTTTTTATAAACTGATCACTAATTTTTTTTTCTTTGCATAAAATTATGTTGAACCTCTAATAGATTGTCGTATCTCGCATCTGTCTTGTTTTATTTCGTGTTTGCCGCTTAAGTTTCGCTGCTTATAATTTAGTCACTAATATACTTCAATTCCAGCATTATTTATTTATGATTTAAAGCACTTTATGTTTTATTATTTTATTCTTGCCACTGACATACTAACATTTTATTTTTGTTGTACAGTTAATCTCATAACTTTTAGATTTTTGTGCGATTTATGTTGTATATTATTTGCATCATATTTTTTTACAAATCATTATTTGTTTTATTACGTATGTAAAGAAAGAAATTTTATTGTGGGAAAAATCCACGATGACATCTCCCAACTAAAGGGAAGGTATCTTTTCGAAGAGTTTTCGCACAAATGTTTTATTCAATAATTTTATTAGCTTTACATTTAATTATTTTTATTATTTATTATTTTTTGTTTTATTTTAACTCATCTTATCTCGTGAAAATATGGAATAATGCTATTTTTGTGAGAGGAATCTATGAAAAGTCTCCTAACTATAAAGGAAGTGCATTTTCAAGGATTGTTCGTACAAAATAACACACTTTCTCATAAAAAATAATTATAATATTTTTATTTTGTAAGAATATCTTTTGGGTTATTTAATCTTTTTCATTAATTGCATTCCTTATTCTAAAGATTTTTATTAACACTTACAGATTTTGAATAAATAGAATGATCATAATTTAAATATATTTTTTGAAGTTTGTAATTCCCAATATTTAAACAACATATAATCATTTAGGTACCAAAATTTGGACGTTGTGGAGGTGTTCACCCTTCCCCACACGTAACCGACTCCCGAACTCTTAAAAAATGAATCTTTGGTAAAACGCAGACCATTTTGTCGTCTTTTAATGATTTTTCTAAACTCATTAAAATGATGTTTAAGGTTTCCAATCTACCTAACTTAAAGGTTATGACAGCTTGGCGACTCCGCTGGGGACAGTTAGAGAGTCAAGCCATAAACGATTATACATTGATTTTATTTTTGGGAATTACAAACTTAAATTGTATTTGATTTATGATCCTTTTTATTTATTTTGAATTTCAACATTACATGCATTATTTTTATCTTTAACTAATTGATTTTTGATTTTAAGTGATCTTCAGATTTGAACAGTTTTTTTTGGGACTTGTGAAAGAATTGTTTTTGGTCATATTTTAAAGGTTTGTGAGTTTCTCTTCACACACGACACGTGCATTTACATACCATAAGCTCACTTACAAGCTTTGTCCCTTTTAAGTTGAGGTGAAAGCTTAGCCTACGTGAGATAATTTGTTTCTCCGCACGGGTTTTAGCAAGTAACCTTTAGGGTTCATATACCTTATGTTTACGTGAGATAAAATGTTTCTTCGCATGGACATAAGGGAATGTATCCTCTCGAATTGAACTCGATCCGCTTGAGCCTGTAATGGGTCAGGATTGAGGGTTTGGCAGCCTAAGGAGGCACCAACAAGAACAATTCGAGTACCTTTTTCTCATAGTGCCAAAACCATGCATATAGTGAGCCCTACGAACTCATCTCGATAAAATTCATTCAGAACCTCTGTCCGTCAGTAGGTACCCAAAATAAGTATACGCAAAGGAGAAATGACGCTAAGCCTTCTTTATTTCTTTACTTGTAATATTTTATTTTCTGAATAAAGCATGTGAACTAGAAGAGCATGTGGGTAGGTGTTGCAATTACCTTTCAATAATATTTGCTTGATATTTGAATTCTTTTATACTGACACATTTTTGTGTTTAATGGTTTATTATTTGGCATTTTGTTTTTTGCATGATCATCATAAATAAAATAAAGGTGTTGATTAACCAAGTAATCATCATAGTAGAAGAGCGACCATTAAAATGAAAAAGAGTTTTCATAACAAGGAAGAACTCAATTCGGTTGTCCGAGTTTGGTCTGAAGAAACACAAAGGGCGAAAGGAGACAGTTTGCCTGGAGATTATGTATCACATATGTCCACAGATGTAAATGTAACTCTCAAGCAGAATGATCTACAAGAACTGATAGAGATTTGGGAGAGTTTGAAAGTAGCTACCAAAGAGAAGTTCCACAAGAAATATGGTGACATAGCCTATCTACTCTATGTAAAGATAGATAAACCGTTGCTTAAAGCTCTGGTCTGATTCTGGAACTCTGCATACAGCTGCTTCACTTTCAACAGACAAGATTTGACGCTGACAATAGAAGAGTATACAACTCTATTTAACTTCGAGAGCCTCCAGGTGGATAGGATTTATTCTAGACCTCCAAAAGTCCAATCCTTTAAAAGTAAACTTGTAAAGATTACTGGTAGAGGCAAAAATTGGATAGTAGAGCACATCCAACAGAAAGGAGAAAGTGAATGTTTTCCGTGGCATTGTCTCAAGAAGGTGATACTCGAGCACATGGATGAAGATAAGAGATTAGAAACGTTTGCTCTGGCTGTATATGGTCTAGTGATATTCTCGAAGACCTTGTTCCACGTGGAGGTTGCTGTTACAGATTTCTTTGACAGATTGGAGAAAGGTATAAATCCGGCACCAGCTATTTTGGCAGAGACCTTCCGATCCTTAAACAATTGTCGTAGACTGGAGGGGGGTCGATTTATAGGATGTGCCCAGCTACTCACTGTCTGGATTCGTAGCCACTTCTGGAAGGAAGAGAAAATATCTTATCACCGTTTCTCCACTATGTATTCGCCTTTGAAAGAATTTCTTAGCAAGGAGTGGCCAGAGGGGTTACCAAAGAGAAGATGGATATCAGCTTTCAGTAATCTACAAGATCAAGATATCGCTTGGTGTGTTCCTTGGCTATGATATACTAGCATTTTATTCAGATGTGAAGATCTTGACCACGTTCCGTTACTAGGATTATGGGGAGGAGTCAACTATGCCCCGTTGATGGTTCTCAGACAGTATAGGGCACACCAATTTGTCCCAGTTACGAGTGGTTTAAATAAGTCTGAGATCACATACCATGGAAACCACTACAAGAAGAGAGCACGTGATTTATCTCTTGCCTGGAAAAGAACCTTTCGAACAAAAGTTGTGGTCGGGGATGTTATGTACACTCCAGACTATGAGGCTTGGAGGTTTGCAAGAAGAAACGAAAATGTCCCTTTTCCAGATCAAGGAGAAGTTGTTCCTTGGGAAGAACATATCAAGGTGGTACCCTCACAATCAGAGATTCTCACTGCTGAATTTGAAGCTGAAAAGAAGAATTGGGACAGGGCAATGGAAGAGTTCAAACAAGAGAATTTCATGTTAGATATTGATAGAGGTCTTCATGCCAAACAATGTGAGTTGTTGAAGAAAGATAAAAAGAAAGTTAATCTTGAACTGGCTGACCTGAAAAGAGATTATCGCAACTTACAAAAGGCAAATAAAATATCTGGATCTAGCAAGACATCACAACAGTGGGCTAAAGAGTTGGCAATTGAGAAGCGACGTGTTCAAAGTATAGAGGCCGAGAACAAACGCCAACTTAGGAGAATTGAAGCCGAAAAGAAATTACGGGACAAATTCAAAACTGAAAAAAAGAAGCGACCAAGCAACTTAAAATTGAAAGTCGTAGAGCTGAGAAATGGAAAGCTGAGAAACAAACTAGCTTGAAGGAGTGGGAATCAGAAAAACATCGAGTTCTTGGTTTGGAAACTGAAATGAATAGTATGCTGGAAGAACTCGAGGCTAGAGATCAGAGGATCCAAGAATTAGAGAAAGCAAGAGAGCAAAAAAAAGAGGAAGTATGGACTGAAAGACAGGGGTGGAACCGAATTCTCGAAAGAAAGCAGGCCGAAATTGGGTCATGGTTGCAAAGATTCCAAACAAAGAACAGGCGAGTGGAACAATTAACCAAGGAAATGGAAGATCTACAGACCAGTTTTGATGGAGAATTGAATCGGTCTCGGGATATGAATAGTGAACTTAAAGATCATATTACGCACCTCGAGGAGTCCTTACTTCAAGTTCAAGTACCACCCGGGTCGATGGACTTAAGGCTTTCTCGTGAGGAGAATAAACTTTTGCGAGAACAAGTCAGAAGACTAGAGAGTGAGCTTCAGCGCTGTCGAGTATACATCACCAACCTGGAAAGAGAAATCACTCGTATCAATGATGGGTGGAAGGATACGTATGAGCACCACCAGATGTTGGTTGAGGAACGGGAGCGCATGATGGGTGAAGCAATAGCACAAATGAGCGAAGTGGCTCACTACACACAAGAGCTCGCCAACAGAGCTTAAGTCATCCTACTTCGCACCAGTTTATCTTCCGAATATGGAGAGAAAATTGCTGAGATCATGACTGAGGTCATGGAACTAAGTGAAAGAGCCAAACCGTATTTGTAGATTGATCTCTTTTGTAATGATGAAAACTCTTTTGGAAGAATGAAACTTTTTCTAAGAATGGTTACTTTTGGAAATCGATACCTTTTGCATTTGCATTTTGCATTTTTACATTCGCATATTAATTTTCTAAACATCTCATGTGCATAAAAAAAACAACCATAAAGATATTAATTTATGAATATTTATTTTGAAGAAAAATACCCTGGAAGCCGATAAAAACCAGTCCGAAGCCACACATCCGCATAATACCAGAAGCAAGACTAAGAAAATGGATGCTAAACTCGAGCAAATACAAAAGGAACTTCAAGAAAAGCTCTTGAAGATGCAACAAGACTGGGAGGCTAAGATGGAGCAGTCACAAAAATCTGCCATTGACCATATAATACAAAGCCAATCTAACATGGTGAATGACATCGTGGCCAAATTATCTGGGCTAAGCGGCATGGAAGGGAAAGAACAAAATACTGCAGTAGCCGAGACTTCTGAATATGCACCAGTACAGTCTGGTCCTAGATTGATTATTTCATCTAAAAAGCTCACTGGGCATCCAACAGGTTCCTCTGCTGCTAAAATTCAAATGGCTGTCACAAACCCTCAGAACAACCTGAACGAGTACAATGTACCAGATCTTGATGAGATCGAGAAAATGAAGAATCAAGTTCATGAGCATCTAAAAGATTGGTGCAAGGATTTCTTTAAGGAGATGGGTGGGCAAAGCTCCCAGGAAGGGATAGACGCGGTAGCGCTAAGTTTGGTACCCGACTTGGTTTTACCACTTAAGTTTAAGATGCCTGAGTTCGAGAAGTATGAAGGAAAGACATGTCCTAGTGCACATCTAACAATGTTCTGTAGAAGGATGACCGGTTTTGTTAGAGACGATAGTCTCCTGATACATTGCTTTCAAGCAAGTCTGACAGGATCTGCCGCAAGATGGTACAACCAACTGACCCGGGCTAAAATAAGGTCTTGGAAAGATCTAGCCAATGTCTTCAAAGAGCAATATCAACATGTTACCGACATGATGCCAGATAGAGTTACTCTCCAAAATATGGAGATGAAAAACAACGAGAGCTTCCGCCAATATACGCAACGTTGGAGGGATATTGCTGCCCAGGTCCACCCCCATTAGTTGAAAGAGAGTTCATAACCATGTTCATTGATACACTAAAATCCCCTTATATTGATCATATGCTGGGGGTAGCCACGAAAAGTTTCTCGGACATAGTTATGTGTGGGGAAATGATCGAGAGGGCATTGAAGAAAGGTCAAATTGTTGGTGGCCAAAACTCATTAAAGAAACCCTTTGTAAAGAAGAATGAATGAGAGGTAAACAATGTGAACTTCTCAATAAATAAACCGAAAGCTGGAAATTCTGCAACCAAGCGTGAAAACAATAATGAAAGAATAACTTTCACACTTATCCCGATGACATACAGTGAACTTTTCCAAGGGCTAGTCAAGTCACATGTGGTGTCACCAAGATATGTGGATCCGCTGGAACCGTCTTTCCCTAAGTGGTATAACGAGAATGAAACATGTGAATATCACGCCAATACCCAGGGACACACAATCGAGAAATGCATTGCTTTCAAAAGGTTGGTCAAAGATTTGATCAAGAGAAAGATCGTGTCCTTTCATGACTCAGAGGCACCATGCATTGCCGCAAACCCACTCACAAATAACCAAAATCAGGGAGTTAATGCTATCAATGAAGGTCGTAGGGTCAAAGAAAACATTGAAGAAGTAAAGACACCGTTAAAATGGGTGTATGAACAGATGATCATGAGAGGATTATTGAGTCCAAAGAAAGGATCAGTGGGGCAGAAATCAAAAATTCACTGTGAATACCATTGTGATGATGGCCATCAGATCCAAGATTGCCATGAATTCAAAAATATAATACAGAAGCTGATGGATGGGAAGGAAATGCAATTCTTTGAAGAAGAACTGACAAAGAATGAAGGAGACGTTCATGCTTCCGAGGACAATTCAGAAAAGATTGACACAAAGATGAAAAAGCAGATTTTTGTTATATCTAAGCCAAGCTACGAGGTGAACAAGGGGAAGTCGGTATCGAAAGTAGTGATAAAAACACCAGTGCCATTTGCCTACAAAGACAACAGAAGTGTTCCATGGAGTTACACATGTCAAATTACCACTCCCAAACACAAGGAATACGAAGTTGATGAGGTTGGAGGTTTCACTAAAAGTGGCAGATGTTATGCTCGCCGAACAGAAAAGGCTAGAGCTGTTGTAATCAATGAGAATGAAGAAAAGATGAATGAACCTGTTAAAATTGATGAGGCCCAAGAGTTTCTAAAATTTTTGAAGCATAGTGAATATAACATTGTGGAACAACTCCATAAGACTCCTGCACGTATCTTAATATTGTCTCTTCTTCTGCACTCAGAGGTACACCGAAATACGTTGTTGAAGGTATTGAATGAGACCTTCGTAGCCAAGGACATACCAGTAGAATGCTTAGATAGGTTGGTGGGCAACATCAATACCGATAATTTTATCTATTTTAATGATGATGAAATACCAGAGGATGGTAAGGGTAGATGTAAGACACTGCATATAATCGTTCACTGTAAATGGGTTATCATATCTGGAGTCTTAATAGACAATGGATCAGCATTGAATGTCATGCCCTGGGCAACTTTGAATCGACTTCCAGTAGATACCTCACGCATGAAAGTTTGTGGCAATATTGTTCGAGCATTTGATGGCACAGAAAGGAGCATCATGGGAAAGATCACAATCCCTTTGAGGGTAGGTCCTGCAACATTCGAGGTAGAATTTGTGGTCATGGACATTCACCCAAATTATAATTGCCTACTTGGAAGACCATGGATACATATGGTTGGAGCGGTTCCCTCTTCACTGCACCAGAAACTCAGATTTATCATGGAAAGGACTTTGATAACCATCAAAGCTGAAGAGGAAATCATAGCCTCTATCACCACTGATATGCCATATGTAGAGGTAAACGAAAATGCACTCGAGTCGTCCTTCCAATCCCTGGAGTTCGTCAACGCCACCTTTGTCCCTGAAGGAAAGAAATTTCCATCTCCCCAACTCTCAAAGAATGCTAAGATGCAGTTGAAGGAAACTTTAGCCCGAGGAGCTATAGTTGGGAAAGGATTGGGCAAGGAGCTGCAAGGAATAACCAAGGGATTGAGCCCCATACCTAAGAGAAATTATTTTGGGATAGGATACAAACCTACTTATCAAGACAGGGTTAAAGATGCCCAGAAGCTTAGGGACAGAAAGAAAGCCAGAGCATATGGCCAAGATGCCTTCGGGGAACCTATCATCATACCACTCATCACTCAGACATTCACATCTGGGGGTTTTGTGATAAAGGCATTGGAAGTTCCATGGATGGAGGAAGGAGTTACTGAAGTTGAAACCCTGATAGAAGATCTCAGCATCAACGCTATAACAAATGACGCTAGTGGGGAGTGCTCTCTGGCATTGATTCATCCATGCCCTCCTGGATATGTTCTGAACAATTATACTGTTGAGGAGATCCCTGTATTTTTCAAACAAATCTCAGAGTAATGTATGATAACAACCTTGTTACTTTAGCCCGAAAGTAATAGGGATCCTTTGTTAGGGCATACTATCATTAATCCTTATTTTAATAAAATGATGTATTTTCTTTCATTCTTTCCATGGCAAACATTTATTTTGTCTTTATGATAGCCATTAGTCATTGAAAAAAATAAAAATAAATAAATAAATATTCATGTCTCTAGCCCAAACGTATTCATCTCCCTTTGCAGGTCTCAAGATATCAATTGCACGAATAATGACGTTTCGGAAACAATAGTTGATTTTGAAAATGATATGTGTCTAGAGGAATCCAAGGGTTATAAGGATGATGAGGAATGCGAGTTAAATCCTGAACTTGTCAGGTTGATTGAGCAAGAAAGTAAGCAGATTTTACCCCATCAAGAAAAGACCGAGACAGTAAATTTGGGGATTGAGGATTATAAGAAGGAGGTCAAGATTGGTACTTCATTCTCAGCAGAAACAAGATCGGATCTTATACATCTCTTGCATGAATTCAAAGATGTGTTTGCATGATCTTATCAAGACATGTCAGGTTTGGATAATGACATTGTGGTACACAGGCTTCCAATAAAACCAGAATGCAAGCCAGTTCAACAAAAGCTTCGGAGAATGAGACCAGATATGTTGCTAAAAATAAAAGATGAGGTGAAGAAACAATTTGATGCTGGATTCTTAAAAGTGTCCAAATACCCCGAGTGGGTAGCAAATATTGTGCCGGTTCCAAAGAAGGATAGAAAGGTCCGAATGTGTGTTGACTACCGAGATCTTAATCGTGCAAGTCCCAAAGATAATTTCCTGCTCCCTCACATCGACACATTGATCGATAATACCGCATGTCATGTTTTCTTCTCATTTATGGATGGCTTCTCAGGATATAACCAAATCAAAATGAATCCGGACGATATGGAAAAAACCACGTTTGTGACCATATGGGGCATATTTTGCTATAAAGTAATGCCTTTCGGGCTAAAGAACGTAGGGGCAACCTATCAACGAGCTATGGTTACTTTGTTCCACGATATGATGCACAAAGAGATAGAAGTCTGTGTGGATGATATGATTGCCAAATCACAAACTGAAGAAGAACATGTTCAAGTCCTCAAGAAGTTGTTCCTGAGATTAAGGAAATATCAGTTAAAACTTAATCCATCCAAGTGTACCTTTGGGGCCACTTCAGGGAAGTTGCTCGGGTTCGTGGTCAGTGAGAAAGGGATAGAAATAGATCCCGATAAAGTCAAGGCAATCCTAGAATTACCGCCCCCTAAAACACCAAATGAGGTACGTGGATTCTTAGGGAGGTTAAATTATATCGCCAGGTTCATATCTCAATTAACAGAGAAATGTGATCCAATCTTCCGTTTGTTGAAAAAAAAGAATCCAGGAACCTGGGACGATAAATGCCAGAAAGGTTTTGACAAAATCAAACATTATTTATCCAATGCTCCTGTCCTAGTTCCGCCCATTCCTGATAGACCATTAATTATGTACTTGACCGTTTTTGGAAATTCAATGGGGTGTGTTCTAGCACAGCATGATGAACAAGGAAAGAAAGAACGAGCCATTTACTATTTAAGAAAAAAGTTCACTGACTGCGAGACCCGATATTCTCACATCGAGAAGCTGTGTTGTGCCCTGGTTTGGACTACGAAAAGACTAATGCAATATTTATTATACCACACCACGTGGTTAATATCCAGATTGGATCCTTTGAAGTACATGATGAAATCAGCAATCTTGAATGGGAGGATGGCGAGATGGCAAATGTTATTAGCAGAATTCGACCTGGTATATGTGAGCCAGAAAGCTGTGAAAGGTAGTGTCATTGTAGATTTTTTGGCAAATAGGGCACTAGAAGACTATGAACCAGTAAAATTCGAATTCCCAAACGAGGACTTAATGACCATATATACAATATAAGGAGAGGAAGCTCCAAAAGATGAAATATGGAAGATGAATTTCGATGGTGTATCAAATGCTGTTGGGTATGGAATTGGGGCAGTATTGGTGTCACTCGAAGGAAATCACTATCCTTTCACCAGTCGTCTCACTTTTGAATGTACAAACAACATGGTTGAGTATGAAGCTTGTATCATGGGGATCCGAGCTGCAATTGAACGTAAAATCAAAATCCTAGAAGTATTCGGAGATTCAGCCTTAGTTATCTATCAACTTCATGGAGAATGGATGACTAGAGATTCCAAATTGGTAGAGTACAAGAATCTAGTCATGGATCTGATAAAAAGATTTGAGGAGATTACTTTTAGTTATCTCCCGAGAGAAGAAAACCAGATGGCGGATGCTTTAGCCACACTAGCGTCAATGTTTAAAGTCAATGACCAAGCTCGCATGATGCCCATCCGAATGAGTATAAGAGAAATACCGGCTCACTGTTGTAATATTGAAGGAGAGGATGGTTTCCTTTGGTACTATGATATTCTTCAATATGTGAAATATCAAACTTATCCTGCTGAAGCTACTGAAAACGACAAACGAACCCTAAGAAGATTGACTATGGGGTATGTCCTTGATGGAGATGTTTTGTATAAAAAAGGAAAAGATCAGGTACTGCTGAGATGTGTAGACAAATTTGAAGCCAATAAGATACTTGAAGAAGTCCACGAAGGAATTTGTGGGACACATGCAAATGGTTTCACAATGGCCAAACAAATTATGAGGTTTGGTTATTACTGGTCAACAATGGAGGGGGATTGCATCAGCTTTGCACGCAAATGCCATAAATGTCTAATCCATGGTGATAAAATACACGTTCCTCCTTCACAACTTCATGTAATGACCGCACCGTGGCCATTTTCAATGTGGGGCATAGATGTTATTGGGGCAATCTCACCAAAGGCTTCAAACGGGCATCGTTTCATCCTAGTAGCTATTGACTATTTCACCAAGTGGGTTGAAACTGTCTCATATGCCAGTATCACGAAAGGAGTAGTGTGCAGATTCCTAAGAAAGGAAATTATATGTAGATATAGAACCCCAGAAAGAATCATCACATATAATGCTCTGAATCTGAACAACGACCCGATGAAGGAAATATGTGCGAAATTTAAGATCAAACATCATAATTCAGCTCCTTATCGCCCAAAAATGAATGGTGCAGTAGAAGCAGCAAACAAAAACATCAAAAAGATTGTCACCCGAACGACCGAAATATATAGGGACTGGCATGAAAAACTACCTTTCGCCTTACTCGCTTACCGTACATCAGTCCAAACATCAACGGGGGCAACACCATTCTCACTTGTCTATGGGATGGAGGCAGTTTTGCCAGTGGAAGTAGAAATCCCTTCTCTGAGAGTAATGATGGAGCTCAAGTTAGGAGAGGCTGAGTGGGTTCAGAACAGATTTGATCAGTTGAATTTAATCGAGGAGAAAAGATTGAGAGCTATTTGTCATGGCCAAATGTATCAAAAGAGGATGATACGAGCTCATGACAAGAAAGTTCGACCTCGAGAATTTTATGAAGGAGATTTGGTCCTGAAAAAAATCTTACCCATGCAAAAAGACTTTCGAGGAAAGTGGATGCCAAATTGGGAAGGCCCCTATGTCGTAAAGAAGATATTTTCGGGAGGAGCTTTGATTTTGACTGAAATGGATGGAGATGAGTTGTCTAATCCCGTAAATTCTGATTCAGTCAAGAGATACTACACCTGAAGCAAAGAAAAGGGAACAGGGAATCAAGAAAAAAACTCAAGATGTATGTTTTAAAGCCAAATGAGGGATTCGAGTTGAAAATCTATAAGAGACGGTTTGAATATTTGGGGTTAGGCTCATAATATTGACAGTTAGGGGAGAGGTTCTCATACTCAGACATCTTTTAGTACTATCTGAATCCTCTAAACACATGTCAAATCTCAGGAGAGACTTGAGACAAAATGATAGAAAGACTCGCGCACTTGATATCGGGTGTACCTAATCTCTGTTCCTTTTGAAATGTTTGCCTTTCTTTCGTAAAAAAAAAAAAGAAAAAGAAATCTTCGTCCAAAAATTATACCTTTTTTGCCACTCTTTAATCAATTGGATGTTTTTGTTGTTTCTTTGTGTAAGCATTATACATATAAAATTTTGATTAATAATGGTATTCTATAAAAAGAAGGATTATTATGCATTACTCAGAGAAGAGTGAGAGGAAACAATAATTTCAAAACATGTGTCCAACGGGAAGCCTACGTAAGCAAGATAGCTTTAATCAACAGTTTACGCAAGTAAAAGAGATTTTAAATCAGAGCTTTATCCATTCAATTTGACGTATTCGTCAATTAAGGGGGTTAGTAATGCAGTCACATTTGGAATCCCAGAAAATGGCAGTAGAAAAGCCCTGACGGTTTTAATCAAGTGAAGACCACTAAAAGCCGATGAGATTCCACACTTTGAAATTTGATGCAACAAATAAACATTCATGCATTACATTCACATTAGATCATCTTTAGGACACACTGCATATGACATACATGTCATTTGATATTTTCTGAATGAAATCATCTCCAGATTGACCCAATTTCCTCATCACGAAGGAATAGTGTCATACTCGAAAATGACCCGATCTCTTCATCGCGGATGAGCAGTGTCGTCTTCAACATCAAACCGACCAGATCTCCTCATCACGAAGGAGCAGTGTCACCCTCAGACAATCAGACTTCCTCATCACGAAGGAACCGTATTGTCCCCAAATTATCTCCAGATTAACCTAATTTCCTCATCATGAAGGAACAACGTCATACTCGAAAACGACCCGATCTCTTCATCGCAGATGAGCAGTGTCGTCTTCAACATCAAACTGACCAGATATCCTCATCACGAAGGAGCAGTGTCACCCTCAGACAATCAGACTTCCTCATCACGAAGGAATCGTATTGTCCCCAAATTATCTCCAGATTGACCCAATTTCCTCATCACGAATGAATACGTCATAATCGAAAGCGACCCGATCTCTTCATCGCGGATGAGCAGTGTCGTCTTCAACATTAAACCGACCAGATCTCCTCATCACGAAGGAGCAGTGTCACCCTCAGACAATCAGACTTCCTCATCACGAAGGAACCGTATTGTCCCCAAATTATCTCCAGATTGACCCAATTTTCTCATCACGAAGGAACAACGTCATAATCGAAAGCGACCTGATCTCTTCATCGCGGATGAGCAGTGTTATCTTCAACATCAAACCGACCAGATCTCCTCATCACGAAGGAGTAGTGTCACCCTCAGACAATCACACTTCCTCATCACGAAGGAACCGTATTGTCCCCAAATTATCTCTTGATTGACCCGATTTCCTCATTACGAAGGAACAACGTCGTAATCGAAAGCGACCCGATCTCTTCATCGCGGATGAGCAATGTCGTCTTCAACATCAAACTGACCAGATCTCCTAATCACGAAGGAGCAGTGTCACCCTTAGACAATAAGACTTCCTCATCACGAAGGAACCATATTGTCCCCAAATTATCTCTTGATTGACCCGATTTCCTTATCACGAAGGAACAGTGTCATAATCGAAA